AATTAGTTTAATTCATATTATAATTCATATAAAAAACTATTCTTCTTAAATAATAGAATTTTCTTCTGGATCCTATTGATTTATAAAATTAATTTGCTAATACTTTCATTTTTTTTTTTATTTCTAATCCTATTTTTATATGATCATATATCGTGATATTTTACATATTTTACTGGCATCTACTAATCACTTTTATTGTCTAGACAAAGATTGCATCGTACTGATCGAGTCTAAGTCTCAGTTCGAGTGGATCAGTCGTTTCTAACACCCGTTGGGAGAGAAAATCTTGATGGAGAAGCGCTCGAACGTGTTTGTTGAGAAAATCTCATTACTACCGAGTCACTGAACTCCACACACTTAGGTTTTCCCAGACGTGGAAAAACCTAACTCTTGCCCGGTGATGGAGGAAAATATCGGAAGGAAAACGAAATTGTTTCGTCGTGCATTTGTTGCTCGTAACCTCATCGAATGAAAGGGTAACTTGTTTCATCCTTTTTCGAAACGAATAAGATACGCTTGTGTGGATACGCTTGAGATTAAAACTTTTCTGAATTATTCTCAAGACTTATTTCTATGTTAGTAGACACACTGCGTTCAGAGCGATAACTATTCTAATAAAAAATAATCATTCTCGAGAGCGATTCATACTTTACTTTCAAATCTAATTCTCGTATCCTAAGAATACAAAGATAGAATATAAAAATATTTTTTCCAGACGTTACGTTGAAAATAATCCATCCATAAAATTGATACTCGAAAGATCACAATGCAGCATCCACTTGCAAGAAAATTATATTTTCCAGATACAAAATTATATTTTCGAGGATTTCTCTCTCAAATTCTAACGTTCACTTAACATTAATTTCGCGTTTCTCTTCGATTCATTGAACTCTGAACTTATTCGCGTGATAGGGCTGAACTTTCATAGATCGTGCTACTATATTTCAAATCGCGAAGGGACCTGTTATTTATTTAAAAGACCTTGAGTAGGTATGTAGATATTCGCGGCAAACTTGGAAAATTTGTTCAGGAATGTAACCAGATTTCTGAAACCTGATCGATTAAATTGTTAAGATAGGTGTATGTATATATTCGTTTCGTTTACCTATAGTTGAATGGAATTCTATCAACGTTCAGTTATCTGTAAATTACATCAGAAGGAAATGTGTTTAACGTGACATGAATGTCAATAATTGATTAATTTTATCTTAATATATAACTCACGATCGATACTATTAATGAAAATTATTGAATTATCTTACGATCTAATGGCTATGTTTGATAATCGACTAATTAACTATTATAATAGTCTATAAAAATATTTTTATAATGAACTTGAAAAATTTTAAATATTTAAAAAAAAAAATAAATATTGCATTTTTAAATTATATGTGAAAAAGGAATTTATTATTTAGCCAAAAGAGTCTGCTAATATTCAATATAATTTTCTTGATTTCCTATTAATAAATTCGTCAAGTATGAAAAATTATTATTATATCTATGACTTTTCATCATCTAATCTCATACATAAGTTTTTGTTGAAAAGTCCTTATAATTCAAAATTCCAAACAGGATAATAATTAGATATATTTTTATTTAATTTCCTAAAGAATTTTCAAATTTTCTTTAATTTCACGAAATTCTACGAATCAAAAAATATAAATATACGAAATCCGAATATAATAATTATACTAATATTACATTTCAAAAGTAATTTTCTCGATAGTAATTATAATGAATATAATGAATTAAAAAAATATAAAGATGGTTACATAAAAAGTTCATGTTTCATTTAATTTTTTTCAATTGTTACGTTCAATTGTTACGTTATTATGTATAATAATTTTCCATGCGAAACGCGAAATAAGAATCTCGTTGAAAAGAAAAATAACGAAGAAATAGAAAATAAGTAACATAATACAGCATATGCACAAAACAACCTGATCATCCGACCACTTCCTGTCGATTGACTTGATATTACTAAAGCGTGCACGTTATCGCAATAAATGATCTAACAAAACTGATCTAATAGCTTATATTTTTCTATATGTTGCCATGAAACTGAGCGCCGTTTTCTCGAAAAAGTTCTGCTTAAATGAATTTTAAAATTTCGAAATGAAAAAATAAAATTCTATCTTACGACTGTGAGTTTAATTTAAGAAAAATATATGCGTAAAAAAATTTGCTATTAAAAATAAAATGAATTAAATTAATCCTAACAAAGATTACTATCATTAATATCTTATTATAATCATAATATTTTTGGATATATTTTATGTTAAAAAAATAATTCCGTAAAATATAAATTATAAAATATAAATTATAAAAAGTCCAACGAAATGCCCTCTTTATTAATGCCCTCTTTAATTAAAATGTTCACATCTGACATTTCTTGTATTCTTCAAGATATATTTTAAATCGTTCTAAATTCTACGTATCCTTTTACTTTTAAAATTAGAAAATTCTATTTTAGTGATCTAGAATTAGAATTAATTTAATTTTTCTAACAAAAACATCACAGAAATGATAAAAACTTTTCGCAAATATGTTTTCACAATTCTTCTAAGATATCTTCAGAAGAAGAAAGGCAAAAATTTTGAAAAATAGATAAAAGAGAAAAGCGCTGAACGAAAAGAAAACGAAAAATCAAGAAATATAATAAAGATATTTTTTTCTTGTTGAGAATGAGAAACAAATAGAAGAAAGAAAGGAAAAAAGAAAACGAGAATGACGTCGATCGTGTCACTCATAAATATTGTAAACGTATGAACAGATTTCGTGCTCGAGTAGCCAAACGAAATGTAAGGAGCATCGTTACGAACTAGTCGTGCCGAGAATTTTCATTTCATTCAACCAGGAACATCCTCTTTTCGGCTTATTGCTGCCTATCTCTTTTCTTTGTGGCACGCAACATCGAACTTTCTCTAGAATAGACCTCTTAAACCTCGAAATTTGATTTTATCGATATCGATGGCGTGACGGAATGTACATAATAAACGTGAGCCAATCTTAACGCGATGCATGGATAAAATAATGAGAAAAAATGGAAGGATCGAATCGTTCTTGGTTCGTAATTCGAGAGATCTATTGGCCTTCGTTTCATATAGCGATTTGTAACGAGGTTAAACACGATTTTTACAAAAAACTGTATACTTATGAAATGAATTAATACATATTTATAATATAATAATATAATTTTTCGTATTTATATTTACATATTTATATTTCTATTTAATCAAAAAATATATACTAATTATAATATATATTTTAATCAAATTATTTATATATTTATGCTTGTAAATATTGTATTTAAATATTTCAAATTTATCAATTTAATTGAGTTATTTAAACATTTTAATATCCTATTTTAATTTTTTAACAGGAATATAATCTTATTGAGAAGCATAAATAAATAAATAATTAAATGTAAATTTAAATATTCAATCCTCATAATTTGGAATATTTAATTAATAAATAAATGTTCAATGGCAATAATAAGTCTTACTCAATGAATCAAGCAAAGAATTGTCTTTTATATAAGTGCAACGTTTAAGATGCAACTATTTATCGTAAAATACGAGTTGATTAATCAATTAAAAGGTTAAACGAACATTGCGTTGTCGAGACAAAGTTCTTCTGAGTCATTATATCAACATCAATAATGTTAATATTTCATATCAACGTTGCAAAACACGAAATATTATAACAATTAAAAAAAGAACATAAAATAATACAACAATTAAAAATCTTAAAATCTTTTGAAAATTCCTCTTTGTCTGAAATAAGAATAAAATTTAAATTTTAAATAATAAAATAAATAAAAAATTAGGAAACATATTCTTTGAAATTTCGAATAGAAATTAAAAAAATTTAGATTAAATTTGGACAATCATTCCAGTCGAATAAGGAGAATATATTTTTTGAATTATTATTCAAATTTTTCGTTGTAATCTCCATAGTTGAGAAGATACATTCAACCAATAACATAAATCCTCAAAACAATTATTAAAATTAAGAATACCATTAAAATACGTTTCCGTGGGATTAAAAAAAGTTCTTAATTGCAAGCTTCGTTAATTAGAATCTACAGCATTGGTCGAATGCTTGAGTTTTATTCTAGAGAATTTTATTGTTAGAATACGAATATTTCCACGCTCACAGATCGATTTTATTATGATTTCGTTACTGGTCAGATTTTTTGCATTTCTATTTTTTCATGGCGCGACGAAAGTCCGGACTTAAAATCATGAGTTTAATTAAGAATTAAACAATTTTGAATAATGATAAAAGATTCCTGCATATCGAGAGAAATATATAATTCTTTTTTCGGAGAAAAAAACAATAAAATTGCTACACTTCTAATAAAACAGAAAGCTCGTCTTTACTTAAGTTTTATTAAATGAAAATATTCTCGATATTCTACGATTGAGATGAACAATTTTCAGAATCTATGTTTTTTTTCATGGCAATATCATATCGTGAAACTAAATGGAAACAACGGAATATACTTTTATATTTTTATACTTAATCGAAATATACGGTTATATTTTTGAATACATTCAATTTCTATGAAAAATTATTTTTTCTCAAGTCACATTTAAAATCTATTAATCCGACAATAATATAGTATTAATAATCTCCAAAGATAACTTTACTATCATCTAATTCCTAAAAACATTTTAAGAAATTTTTACGATAAATTTTCATCATTAAAAATGTCTATTTATTTAAATTCTCTCAGTTTTTTTTCACAGTAAAATTAAAATTTACTTAGAACATATGTTTTCATGCGCAAAATTATATTTCACAAACTGTATTAAAATTACCGTATATTTCTATAAAACATACTATACTATAACGTATTTTAGTTGAATTAAAAATTAATATGTATTCGATATTCTATTCAATTATATATTTTTCATATAAATTATGGTTAACATGAATATTTATCTCATATCATGTACTCCATGCAAATGTAAAAATAAATGTATATTACTTACCACCGTTTTTCCCATCTTCCTTTGCTTCATCTCCAACCGGCTGGACACTCTCCTTGCTCGTGTTGCAGCCCATTTTCACTTATCTGTTCCTATATTTCTATCCTCCAATCACAAACGCCGTTACTTGCAACACTTATCGTATAATACGCAATTATGATCGGCTAAATACTCTTTTCGTTAACATTGAGTCGTCAAATAAGGGCCCAGATTATAAGAAGACTACTTGTGTGCACTAAAAGAATTATTAATACCTCGACAAGGACGAATTGGAAAGATCACAGTACAATATTTTTGGCGTTTTCAAAATTTTCGTTTTTCTTCTCGTGTGCTAGAGGTTAACGACACGTCGTAGTACCGGTATATTCGGGACGATTCGTTGAAACGAAAATACAATGATTCTTTGTGATTGGTCAAACTGGACGTATCATGAATTTGATCGCAATTCCTTCTGTTCGTGAATTTAACAACCGGTTAAGAAAAATATATATGTATATATATATATACTATATATTAAAACACTGTACAAAAGCTACTGCCGGTGAACACTAAACGCTATTCTACGATTATATCACGAACACAATATATCCCGTCGGCGTCACGAGGCGTACTGACTACTGACACTGCCGACGACCCTGCCCTTGCGTCGCGAGTCGTGACTACGCGAGTCGATATAAACATTCTTTCGCGGTTTTGTATATATACACATATATAATTGTATGCGTACGAAACCTATAACAATATATACATCTATTACGGATTTTACATAAATTTAATTTTAAATAAATAATAATTAATTAAAATTTGATTTTAAATTCTTACAAAATTTTTTTTAAATTCCCACAAAAAATGTATCGCTTTCATTGTATGCATCATCGGTCAACTTCGCGCCACTCCCAATTCTTGTGTAATATCCAAGAAGAAAATAAGAATTTTTGCAAAGTTCAATCGATTTCATAAATGAATACTTCACTTGGTTACTTTGTTGCATTGAATCGACAAGACCGGTGGCAGACAGGCGCCAATAATTCTCGTGATTTTCCTGTTTTGTGGAACGAATATCGATTTTGTAGTTTTGATAATCCTTCACGATTTACCGCCGTTGGTGATTCATATTTCACGGACATGGCTTGCACATTTGTTGTTTCATAATTGCGTGACTCGTGCTGAAAACTGACAAATAGCTTTCGGTATTTTTAATATTCCTTTGTATATACTATTTTTTAAATACAAAAAATATTAGGAATAAGAAACAATTAATAAAATTTTTAAAATATTTTTGAATATGTAATAAACATTATATTTTGTTTTTAAATGTACAAGATATATGTTTAATTCTAATATTGTGAACTATATGAACTAAAATATATAAAACAATAAAAAAGAATGAGATGAATTTAATTATTTTATTTTTTAACTCTACTAAAGAATTGATAATAAAAATAAAATTTGATAATAAAAATAGATAAAATAATGAATTTTCCTTAAATATTAAAATATCAAAAAATATCGATAACTATGCTAATAAATGATTTAATTTAATTTTAATCTTTTCAAAATTTTTTGAAACTCAGAGGATATTTAAAGTAATAATTTAAAAAACATACAATTTTATTCAAAAAGAAAAAAAATATGTGCAATAATAGGTTAAAATCATATATTCTATATTTTTATTTCTTTATTTATATTTGTATATTTTTAATTTGTTTTATATTCTTCGATTTTTAATTTTATAATATGATAATTAAAAAATAAAATGGAAACATGTACATTTCACATGTCAGAAGTACTCCATTTATAAGCTTCTTCTTGGCGAGCTACTTTTGCATTTTGCGCTTCAAACCATCGTTTTTCATATCCATTACTTCTATCAACTCCATCCCACCTATGACCGGGTTTAATACCAAAACGATTTGGCATGAATGATCCTTCATATTTTGGTGGATCTAAAATTATATAATTATATATCAGTTTAATCATAATATTTGTTAGAATTAAGCTTAAGAAATTCACAATATTTTACCTGGTCTTCTCTTTCCTTCTTTTATTTGTTTCTGTTTAATATATTCTAACATAGGATCTCCTTCTCTTTCTTGTTCTCTAAGTATTTTATCCAAATCAGCATCATCTGCATATCTTGCTAAAGGTTTACTCATTTCGTAAAGATCGTCTTTCAATTTTTCTTCGTGATCTTCAACTTGTTTTAAACTGATATAAAATAAACGTTTCTTACAAATTTTGAAAAAATAGAAAAAAATTTTATTTTGTGAATTCTATATAACTTACCCTTTCCCCCATTTAGCATATTTTTCATCTAATTCCTCTTGCTGTTTTTGTCTTTCACGTTCTTCTTGTGCTTCTGCTTCTAAGTTTCGTTTTTTACCTGTTTTAGTGTCGCGTATAACTACTGCTTGACCAACTCCTGTAACTTCTTTACTAAGCTGAAAAAAATATAATTTTGTAAATTCTTATAGTATATAGAATTAGAAGTTATAGTATATAGAATAGTATATAGAATTATAATAATTAAGAATTAATCAATATAAAATTTGTTTAAGTACTTTGCTAAAATGTTCAGCTTCCCGTTTTTTATATGCTTCTGTTTCTTCTCGCAATGCTTTAGCATCTTGTAGTCCTGCTCTTTTTCCATCTAATGTTTTCTTCATTTGTTTATTAGTATCTCCTTCTTCAATATTTTTATATTTTGATTTGTTTTCTTTGAATATTCTAAAATACAAATATTCATCATTCTTATATCTTTTCAAAATTTTCATTTATTGGAAAAAATATGTTTGATCATTAATTATTAATGAAGATCGTAAAAAAAAAAGAAAATACAAATGAAATTAAAAATAATATTTAGAAAAAATAATAAGAGAATTTGAATTAAGAAATATTAGATAATTAAGATTAATATTAAAATAACATTTTTTGTATAATATTTTAAATCATAATCATACCTATTTGATTTAGATTTATAAAAATTTCTATCACTTCTAAATTTATTCGGACTTATACTGTCTCTATTTTTTTTTTGAGATGGACTCATATCTGAATCATAATATCTCTTATCTGATTTAAAATTTTTATAAGAATGTTTATACATTCTATTTCTTTCTGTTTTTTCATCTCTGTATCTATACCATTTTGATTCATAATTTCTATTCTTATTTTTATCATTCATGTAAATGATTTCATTGCTTTCACATTTTCTTTTAAATGCATTAAATTCAGAATTATCTTTTGTTCTATGCTTATGCTTTTTATTTTTTCTTGGTGGACTTAGATCTGAATCAGAATCTTTTCTATTCTTCCTAGGAAGACTCATATCTGAATCTGAATCAGAATCATTCTTATTTTTTCTAGGACTCACATCTGAATTATAATCTCTTCTACTTTTTCTAAAAGAACTCATTTCTGAATCATTTTTATGTATTATATTTTTCTCAAGTTTATATTTTTTATTCTTTTTCGGTGAATTTATATCTGAATTATAATTTTTAATTTTTCTAGGTGGACTAAGATCAGAATCATCTGATATTTTTTCTTTTCTTTTTGTCTTTTTTTTAATTTTATGAGATGGAACATCTGTTTCTTGATTACTATCATCATCACTATTACTTTGTGGAGATTTACATTTAGAATTAATATAACTTCTAGATTTTATTCTAGGTGGACTTAGATCACTATCTTCATCCTTTTGTACTTTCTTATTTCTCTCATCTTTAGATATTCTTGGAGGAGATAAATCATCATTTGAATATTTCTGTTGTATCTTTGACGGACTTAAATCATCATCAGAAATTTTCTTAACTTGTTTAGATTGTTTATTTTCTTTTGCCACACTAGTGATTGTTAAATCACCACTTTCATCATTAGCTATAATTTTCCATCTTCTTTTATCACTAAAATCAACTGGTCCATGTTCATCCACTACACCGGCTATTTGAGGTGCATCTTCTGCATTGATGAAAATATCAAATTCATTTTCTTCAATTGGTCTTATATTCTTCAAGTCTATGTCATCATCAATGATTTTTACTCTGCAAAACACATCTCAAAATTTGTGCAAAGAAATAAATATAATTTTTAAAAATACTTTATATTGATTTGAAAACCAAAATTGAAATTCCTTTTTGCATTAAATATATCTTCCATATTAATATAATAATATATTAAGGAAATGGTAATGAATAAAATACATTTTCTTTTTACTATTTATCATATAAAAAATTTTTTAAATATTATATAAATATTCAAAATGTTTCAATTTAAATATCCAGGAAAATGTGTAAAACAACTACTATAACCTAAAACACAAGGATTTACTGTTGAAACTGTCAACATAAATTATAATATTTACAATTTAAAACTTACGTTTTTGCTCCCAATTTCATCTTTTTCTTTTTCTTTTTTTTCTTATCATCGCAATCTCCTGAAGACAAATACTTTTTCAAATATTCTTTTTGGTCAATAATTTTCTTCTCCATTACTATAGCATATATATTAGCACGATTGCTGTTAGATATTATAATTTCACTATAATCTTTAATATTAATTACGTGAGAATATTAAGAACAATGTAAAAATATTAAAAAAATGTAACAAATATTGAGAATAGATCAATTACAACTATGAAACTAATGGTGAACTAACAAAATGACGACTGAGCGATTGCGCAGTAACCAATGCACTACATAAATTTGCCAAAAAAAAACAGTAAAATATTTTAAAATTGATGTCTTTTTTTAAATTTTTATTTTTATAATACAATATATTTTATATTTATTATTAATTTAACATTAATTAATGATGAAATATAATTTCTACAATAAATGTAAACTTGAGCTATAAGTAATTTTTTTTTAGATAGGATACAATAGAATAAGAATTGTGACTTAGCGCCATCTCTTGAGTATTTTTAAAAGAATCTTTTCAAAATACTCCAGAGATGGCACTGATATTCAATTCTGATTCTATCTTATTTTATTTTTAAAAAAGTGTCTCTAACACTCAAGAGATGGCGATAGTAATCAATTCCTATCCTATTTCTATCTTTTTTTCTTTATTTACTGTTCTTTCTTTTTATGTTTCATTTGAGGCACTCAGAGATGGCGCTGATTTCATAAGTTATAACTTATCTCTATCCTTCTTTCATTATTTACTCTCCTTGTCTATTAGTCGCATGACCACAGACGTCAATTGAGCATATTTTTATTTTTTTCTTTTTTAAAATTATAATCTATATTAATTTTCAATTTAAAAAATATATATTATATTCTCAATTTTAGAATATATTTTTAAAATAACGACTTTGCAAACATAATATTTCTTCGTATATATAATATATATAATTTCAATATTTGACACTGATTGATAATAGTAGTAGAATTTAAACAAACGAAAATTTAGTTCTGCAACAAAAAAAATAAGTAAGAATTATTCTATTAAAAAACAACGCTATCAAAAATTCATTTGTTAAATTTATTTTTTTACTATCTTGTAAAATAAATCGTTAACTGTCCAAACATTTGAATATGCAAGAAAACTTAATATCATATAATTTGATATTCTAAAAATTATTCATACGAATATCAATTATCATGAATATTGTATTCATCTTAATGCATACTCATTATACTCGTAAAAAGTAATATTTATATATTTATACATATTATTAATTGATTAAGTTCCTGATGTATTCGTGCTGATATATTGTACTGACTTTATCGACCGAGCACATTTGGTCACGGGTTATGAAGAATGATCTAGGATACATTAAAAGACGTTAAAAGAATCTTATCGAATTTATTCATCGATTCTCGAATAATCTTTATTTAGCAAAGTGATATAATAATGCAGCAAATCGGGACGACTTAATCCAGAAGTGTACAAGAAACTGGAAACAATACAGAAATTACTAGTGAAAAAAACATGTAATTACGTCGATTGGAGGTGGAAACAACAGAGGTAGGGGAGCGAAAGTGAACACAGGTCCAAGAATGGGCAAGAAGAGACAGACTCCTTGAGTTTTTAACTAAAAGTTTGACGAATTATAACGTAGGACCATCATTATTAATGTTTTCATTCAATTTGACAAATTCATCAGTCTATATTGATTAACTCAACTATTCAAAAATTAACATAAAGAGGAACATATGTGAAAAATGAAAGTGCAAAAATGTGATTGTTCAATCAAGAAAAGCTTGGCTGAAAGAGTGAGATTCCCGTGACGTTCCAAAGAGAGAAACGTAGCGTGTGCAAGGTTATGAGTGTGCTATTGATGTGATCCAGTGTGTGCCAGTGATTCTCACTGACGACATGCTTGTGGTCTCTATTGCAAAAAATTTTGTATTTGCGACGGCTTGGTGCATAATCAGTTACTGTAGAGCAGTTCTAACGTGAACGTGATCTGTCATCCCTATCGCTGATTCTTGAATATCTTGTTGTATGAAATCATGACGCGAAAGCTGAGCAAGTTTTTAATACTTTTTGACAACACAAATCTTTTATATTTTCCCGGTCACTTTTTGTCCGGCCGAGTACTCATTGAATTGGATGATGAGGCTTAGTAAGTATAGAGAATATGCGAAAAATTGCACGAAATCTGACATATAATTCATATATATATTTCTATGAAATTATTCTAAATTGAATTGATAAAATGAAATTATTTGTGAGATATTCACTATAGATAAAGCAAATATTTTATTATATATTTATATATTTAATGATATATATATTATTTATATATTTAATGATATATATAGTAATTATAGTGATTATGAAATTATAATGAATAAATAATTGTACTTTTAAAATATTAAAAATCATATGAAAATATGCAATTTAAATAATTATATTTTACCAGATTTATATTAATCGCGATTTTTTTCTTTATTGTAAATTTTCATAATATAAATAAAATAATGTTTTAATAATATGATTAAATAAATTATACAAAATTATTTATATAGATTAATGAACATGTGAATTATATGTTGTTTAATTTATTTTTGTTTTCTGTTCATAATTTTTATCTAGCATAATAATTAATAGTAATTAATAATAATATTCCTCAAAATATTAATTTATCACAATAATTTCTAAATTATAAAAATAACTTTCTAGAAATGTAATTAATTATTTATACTATATGTAAGATCAAAACAAATTTTTCTTACTTTTAATCTATATCCTTTTTATTAAGGATACTATATATATATGTATAAACTACATATCTTTAATTTTACTTTTAAAATTAAATTCATTTCTTTAATTTAATAACATTATAATAATTTATTTGATATATAACAGCGTTTCAGGATTGCATTTTCATGTGATTGGTGAAGGAGTGGTACGTCTACGTAGTCAACGCGCTGAAAGAGTTTACGACAAGGAAAATTATATAGATTTTCGTATGAGATTGCTAGGCGAGCCAGGTAATGAAAAGAAATAGCATTACGGTATATCTAATGTAACTATTAAGATGAAACGGGCACAATATAGTTCATGATGAACCTTGGATAGTAAGTCTGCGATAAAGAACATCTTAATAGATAAATTAATTTAATATTAGTTTATATAAATACTCTATTTTATTTGATAATAAAAAAAATCTAAAAAAAGTCTAAATTGTAAAATAAATAAATAAATAAAATAAATAAAATTTTTAACAATCATTATTGAATTAGAAATATATCTTCAAATATCTTTTAATTTATTATTTAATCAAAAACTTTTCAGTAATTTTTTTTAATTGTAAAAAATAAATTAATTTTAGTTACAATTATATAGATTTTAATTTATCAATGTGATATAATTTGATTTAGCAGAACAAATAAATTATTAAGATAGAAATATTAATAGCTTAAGATAACTTTCTCAATTGTAACAAGTGAAAAAAATAATGTATCCGTGAAAGTCGTCGAATTTCATATCTCAATACTATTGTACAAATTTTTCTTTCATGCAAACGGCGCACCTACAAGCCATGCGACGCATAATAATATCAAAACTGTTCTTTTTCGTTCTCTGTTGCGTACGACACCGGAATTCAGGAGAGGGACCGTCTCTACTATCACCGGGGATCCACAGCTTTCCATTCAAATTAGGCCTGCCCCTGGGCCTACCATCTACTTTCTTGGGTAAACATGGCTGGGTACAATATTATTGCAAGGCTGCACTTCGAGAGCCTGGCGGATTGACACATAAGAATCAGCAAGTCTTCATCGTGATGAATCCCATCGATCTGAATTTAGAACCACCAATCCTGGCAGTAAGTTTCTCTCTCTCTGTCTCTATGTTTCAATCTTTGCATTATGAATGATTTCGTATCTCATATTTATATATATTCTTATTAAAAAACAATAGTTGAATAAAGAGTAACTAGAATATATTTACTCAATGTTTAATCAATTATTGTTTTCACAATTATTGGCGACTATATTTGTGTTTTAAAAATATTTAAAATATATTTACCTTAAAAAGGAATTCCTGTTTTTAATATATATCTACTCGGTGTTGTTACTATTTTTTAATCAATAAAATAAAATTGAAATGAGATCTTTTAAGAAATTTTTAAAAAGATATTATTAGTGTCAGGTGATTTAGAATTATTTATATTATTTCTGAAATTATAAAAATGAAAATTTGTCGCATTGAAGAATATATATATATATATGTATATTGATATATCTGCAAATTATTAAAAGAAACTAAACTCTAAAATTATAATTTTTATCACTTTAAATTCTTACGATAAACTCATATAATAACTGTCATTTTATTTTAAAGAAATGCAATTTTATCTTTTTTAAATACTAATTTCTAAATTTAAAAATACATATTAAAATAACATATTAATAAAATAAAAAGGATCACAATATTTATGAGACAGGTACTTATATTCAAATTTATAGTCAGCATATTTGCGCATAAGTGAACCCGTGATTCATACATTCCATTATTTTATGGTTTGGTTTGAACATCATTATTCGGCTTACGCTTTCTACGTGCAATTAGAACCCTGACACGTGCATCTTAAGTCGCGAACATTGCCGGTCGGTTGATTTTATTGCAATTGAACGTAGTATTGCACATGTAATGATTTAATTTGCAATTTCGTTTCACGCAATACGCTAATCTATTTTCTAATCATTATTTAAAACGCATGCTTTGATGAGTGAAACGAATAGTTATATATATATAAATATATAGTTTTCATGTAGAAAAACAATTTTAAAGAATAATATCTACACAAAATCATTTTAAAAACAGATATAACTTTCCTTGTCGACAAAGATTTTGTAAAAAGAATAACTCTTCATAAAACAAGTTTGCACAAATATCAACTATCATTCGAAGATTTAACAAACAGTAAAATGATATAAAACTATCTTTTTTATCGTTCATGTCATCAAAGAAATTATACATACATTAATACAATAACATAGAAATTAGTCACAGTCAGTTTGAAATAATATTCCAAGATTTTAATGACTTAACATATTTTATGAACATTTAAAATTCACCACGAGAGTCGTCGGTTCTTGTTAAAATGAAATAAGAAGATTTTTTCACGCACGCTTTCCTTCTTATGCATATTATTAAAAAAATTCTTGGGGAATTTTAACATAACCGAGTTCTGAATAATGGTCACCGACCTACGTAGAAAGCGATCGTGATTATTCTGTACTTTTTCCATTTCCGGTATCAATTTTATTTGCATCTGTTTTTGTTTCATGAAAAAATTTTATAATATTTATATTATTTAATTTCATAATGTTTCTCTTATTTTTTATCATATTTACATTTTATTACAAAAATATTTTTCATTTCATTTTTATGAAAAAAATTATAACAAAAGAAAATTGAGAGGAAGAAAAATCTTGTAAGATAAATTAGTTACATTTTATTTTAATTCCAATTTTATAATAAAATAGAAAAAGATAATGCAATAGTAATTATAATAGAAATGCGTATAGATTAAACATATGTTGATTAATTAAGAATTATGTTTATCAAAAATGATATTTTTTTATTTTCTTATTATTAAATTATTCCACATTTTTTATTTTATTTCATCAAAATTCTTATCATTTATTTTTTATTTATTTTATTTCATCCTTTATTGATTCTTTCATAAATAATATTACAACATACATTACAATATAATTTATATTTGTTTAATCACATCCATGATAATTTAAAGAAGCAGTTTTCATTTAAATTTAAAAAATTTCTTTGCGTGTTTTGTGGGAAGTAATTCTTATTAACACAGCCAAATAAATATGTTCACAATATAGCAAATAACACGTAACATAAGATAATTATTACGTAGGCACATGACATTCAGCTCTGAATGCGACCGCATTGTTGATTCAATTGTATAGTCACATTCATTGCACACACCTTGCATTGCATAATCGACAAGTCTTAAAGTGATAGTTGATAGTATCGATCTCCTTTCCCATGGAGAAATAACTGAAATTTAAGAATCTATAGATTGCTAAAGAAAGAGATATTAATTCCTCGAGGAATGTCAGAAACAAAATTTTTAAATTATAATATACAAAAATATATCATAACATGTAAAAAATTAGATAAAAATATGCAATTCTTCAAAATGTTCTTTTTTTTAATAGCAACCTGCAAGGCAAGAAATCGAACAACGAGTTGGAGTCTCTTGTGTTTCCGGTGGCCCTGTATTTTGCAGAGTGAGCCTCGATAGAGGCGGATATGTGCCTGGTGAAACTATTGGCATCTCAGCGACTGTCAGCAATCGAAGCAAAGTATGTATCACATTTCAATTCGACTAACCAAAAGAATTTCTATCGTGCAAGTAAAATCAGCACAATATAATACTATCAAATATCTCCGAAAATTTAATTTAACAATTATAAAATATATCAAAAATATATTATCCTTGTATTGCAAATTTTTTGAACGCATGATCTCATTATGACCTCATTACCTGCATCAAATTTTGTATTATCATTACAATCAATGAAATTTATATGGATAATACAATAATGATACTATTATAAACAATACAACAATTATCCAAATGATGCAACATTTATTTATATTTAAGTTTACACACAGGAATTGAAATGATTCAACAGGTAACGATGAAATCAACTAAGGCATCCTTGACCGAAACAATTCAGTACCTGTGTCGCGGTAAAGTGCTTGCAAGCGAGACACGAGAATTAGCAAGTGTTTCCAGGGGGAAAATCCGTCCTGGAGAAGGCGAGGAATGGTTGAATGAACAAATGTACGTTCCTCCTTTACCACCTACCAATCTACGAGGATGTCATCTCATCAATGTTCTTTACCACGTTTATGTGAGTAAAAGTACCGTTATTACAATAATTATAATTACACGTAGCATGACTAATGCGTCGCACTCTTTTTGCGTCAACATTCTTTCCATAAAGAAAAAGATTCATTTACGGAAATGACTTTCTTTTTCGCGGTTCTTCTTCTTTTTCTCTTTTTTTTATTTTTCTTATTATGAAAGTGTTATTCGTTACGTTAAATGTGATACATCAAAAATATAATAAATCTCACTTTCGAAATTTTTCTGTGAATTTTTATTTCCAATGAAATTTTATTAAAATTATTTATATGTACATACATATAAATATTTTATAATGCGCTGAAATAATATTCTATTTTGTACTACAGTTTATAATAAGTCCGAAGAGCTTGGATAAAGAAATTAAACTACAAATACCAATCGTCTTAGCCACTTATCCCTTGAGACAGGAAGGTGCCCCAGCCGGAACTGCACCATCGAAAAGGGGAGCACATTATCCATCAACATTGCCAATATTTCGGCCATGGCTGGACGATAAAGCTTTTGAGATACAGGAGTGAAGGTTTAATTAATTTTCACTGATATGCGGATATAATACATTTTGACAAAAATCATACAAGAAATATTGCGATAATGCGATCGAAAATTTTAAAAAAATGATTTAAATCTTCGGAACAATTAATACGCTTATAACAATACTTATTAAACTTAATTAAGTAAATAGATGTATTTATATTTGTATAACTAAAGAAATTAACAAAAAATTAAAAATATTTATATATGACATATAGACAATATAGACAATATAATAACATTCCATTTTAAAATATTTTTTTGCAATTAAAATTTAAATTTAAAAGATATATGAAATGAATAAAAATTTCTTATAATTAAAAAAATTTTAGATTTAAAAAAGTTAATAATTTATTATAATTTTTGTTAATATCTTGTAAATGTTTATGATAATAAACTAAGAAATATTATTTACAATATTTTAATATTTTTTAAATATTTAATAATATTTCATATATTTAAAAAAATATATAATAAATATTGTAAATAACGTTTTTAATGAAAAAAAAATGTATCAAAAGAAAGCTTGAATATATTAGTAAATAACTTTATTAATGCATATATTTAATTTTTGAAATTAATATTGTTAACAAATTATTTTTATTACTTAACAATTGTATAAAATCATTTTTTTATTTTATAAATTAAATATGATAATGATTGATGTGATTGCCATATTTATACAAAGTAAATATGACTTATCAAAAAAAACATTATATATAAAAAATAGCTGTAATTATAACGAAAGAAAAAAATAATGTATTAATAGTAAATTATTATTACTTTCAAGTTTCAATCTCTCCCTTTAATTTTTCCAAAACTTTTTCCACTGATATTCCAGATACTACTACAATCTTTTGTCTACTTTTAGACCCCTATAAAAAATAAGTATTTAAATTAAAAACAAATTAAAAAGAAAATTTAAGTAATAAATATTGAACTAACTCTATCTAACGTTACATCGGACTTTCTCATTCCCAATACAGACGCTATATATTTCACGAGTTCCGTATTTGCTTCACCTTCAACTGGAGGTGCGGATATTGCGACGCCTACTGCATTTTCAGAAATATCTATAAAGAAATTGCATTTTGTATATATATATCTGGTTTTGTTTTTAACATTGATTCTATTTTAAAAATTGTAATACATCATCACCTGTTATATTATTATGTTTCGCACCAGGTTTTGCTTGTATTTTTATCGCAACATTTCCATTTTTATCTATACTTATAGGTCCTTTAACTTCCTATCAAAATTTATCTATTCACTATAATTATATATTAGAAAATATAATATAGTATATAATTTTAATCATATACTTATTTAAAATATATTTTCGATATTAATCGCATATTATTTTATATTATTAAAATGTTTAATAGTATTTATATATTTCTCATTCAAATTAAACAAAAATACATATATACATCATTAAATTCGAAAAAAATGCCAATTTTTTTAACAAATATCTAGTGAATTGCAAATATAATGTTGCCATTCTTAAATTCGCAAACGACATCTAGTAGTATTAAATATAAGTAAAAGGTGTATGATAGAAAATGTCATGTTATTTTCTTAATAGGTGATCAAATCTCGATCACTCATTAAATTTTGATTCTCGCAACCGGAAACGGTAAGATATGATTTTTACTATTCACTAACCTCATTAATTGTAGTTTTTTGATTTTTTCCAGTTTTCTTTGATCCCTGTTTCGACATTTCACGAATATTTGTAAAATATTGCAAAAATTTTCCGTATAGATATGTATTTCTAGAGTAATATATCATTTATAATTTATAAATCACTTAAACCATATTTTAATTTTAATTAATTGTAACTAAAAATGATTTCGATAATTCTTTAACCTCAATAGCTTTGGCTAACTAGTACGTCTGCGCACGTGTATCAATACTGCCAACTAAATCATAGTGAAATACTATTTTACCGCGAATTTTTAAAATATTTGATTTTGTAAATTTTTTTATTCAGACTTAATATTGCGAATAATATTATAATTTATACTGTTATTATAACTAAATAGATGATAATTAGAAACATTATCATGATTGAATTATATTTATAATAAAATTTATAGGTCAATATGCCCAAAAAATTCGTTGGTGAAAATAGCAAAGCCGTCGCTGCTCGGGCAAGAAAAGCAGCGGCAAAAGAGGCCGAGAATACAAAGAAAGCTCTTGAAGCAGAAGAAAAAGCTTGGCAAGATGACGATAAACAGTTATTGAAAAAAAAACAAAAACAAGTATATGAATATTTATTTGTTTTTATTAACTATACATCTTTATTATTTCTAAGTATTTTGAGAAATTTATTTTCATAATTTATAATTCATTTTACAGGAAGAACTTGAAAAGAAACGTCAACAACAATTAGAAAAAAAAGCAGAAGTGAAAGCTCTACTTGAAAAGGAAATGGCAAATATAAAAGTGGGTGGTAAACAACCTGCAGCTAAAGTAACTAGAGCAGAAATAGTTGCTGCAACAGAAAAACGGAATCAAGCAGCAATGAAAAAAAGAGAAGAAGAAAAACCAATTGAAGAGAATTTGAATAGGTTAACAATTGAAGGTGAAACTGCTCATGGTATAGATGAAGCTTTATCTGTTTTAAGGTAAGATTGATTATTAATTTATATAATATATTAATTTATTTTTGAATAATAGTTTATATTATTATTATTATATTTATATTTTTGAATAATAGTATTTATATTATACTATTAAAAGTATTTTATTATTATTTTTCTCTTTTATAGTTCAAAAGAAACAGAAATTGATCGTCATCCAGAAAAACGTGTAAAGGCTGCATATGCTAGTTTTGAAGAAAGAATGATGCCTATTATTAAAGAACAAAATCCTACTCTGAGGTTAAGTCAATTAAAACAAATATTAAAAAAGGAATGGATGAAGTCTCCAGAAAATCCACTCAATCAAAAATTACTTCTAAATCGTTGATATTAAATGGTGTTTGACGGAATATAAACACACATACGACTGATTAGGTTCGAAGGAACACGCGAAATGAGACTCATAAATATAATCATGAACGAATCAAATATCTGTACACAATTTTATTGTAAACGAATAAGTTATACTCCCGGTAGAATACATAAAATAAGACTATATAAATCATCTTTGGTATAACTTATACGCTACTACATAGCCTCTACATTGTATATTACAATTTCATTTACAAACAAATCTTTAAATCCGAAAATTCAAAGAAAACAGGTTAACAATCGTGTACATGTTTTGGCACAGTTACTCTGCAAACTTATACAATTTTACAGATACGAGTATCTTATCGGTATTTTTTTCATTTACAATATTAAACAAATGTTTATAAAAAAATAATTATAAAACTTGGTTACTTCATTTCAATTGTATAAAATAGAATTCTATACAAACAAATTTTCACCAATGTGAAATATAGATTATGTACAATAGACCTTAATCTTTTTTTATTTCGATGCGTTAAATTCGTTGCAGCAGATTAAGCATAAGGCACCATAACTTTTTTCTTCTTCATATGTAATGAGTGAAATACCCGTACTAAGAACTTGATTTAAATTTAATCTTATATATATAATATCTGGTCCACGAACTTTTTTGTAAACATACTTATTTAATTATTTTATCGCTACCATTTTTTATTTTTCCACAAATCTATGAAACAATGTATCATATGATTGACTTGCTCTGGGCAATCAGTCATAGGTGTATGGCCAGCAGTTGGAATCGCTTCGAGGAAAACTTTCACCATAGTCTAAAATACAAAACGTAACAATTACAATTAATACTAAAAAAAACGAAATAAAAATTATTTTTAGATTATCGTTGTTATATTACACATCTTGAGAGAGTCGAAACTTTAAATATTTGCAATCTAAGATAAGATAAATATTTTAAAATTAATAAAAGTATTGAAAAAAATTTTAAATATGAAATTTTAATAATTATATGTAGCTCAAATTGTTTCAAATGTTACGAAAGAATTTAAAAAAATCAATTTATGTAAATTAATTGTAAATATTTTTCTTTTATTCTTATTTCTTTTTTATATTAATTATGAATTTTATTATTTTTTTTCTATTCTTTTTTAAATACTTAAAACAATTTGAACTATTTGGTTCCTTCAAATTCTCGATTGAAAATCGAGTTTCGGCTCCATATTTCAAGATATTCAAATATTCAAGATTATGTTGACAACATTACAACATACCCTTTCCATTTGGCATTCCTGCACGAGCGACACTTTGTTATCCCTTAAGCCATGTATGAGAAGTGTCGGCGTGCATATCCTTCTATGGAACACGTAGTCTCCTTCCGGCCAAACCATGCCGTCCAAAACGTATTTCATGTGCGAAGGCCATTGTTCAGATGGTTCGGGGCCACAATAAGGATGCTGACGACCCCTTGCAGAATATAATATATCTCTGTGAAGGCCACACATTAAAAAAGGCGTCAAGACAGCTCTGAGGCAACAGTGGCCAGCACTTTCAGTACTAGGCGCTGCTAAAGGAGTTGGGCCACCTCCTGATATCAGAACTAGCTGATGAATACTACTGTCGTATTTACAGGCCAAAGCAGCCGCAAAACTGCATCTGTAATGAATAAAAAATTATGCAATAACTATTTCATTTTTTGCATATGTTATACTCTTTCTATATTGATATAATATGTATTTTATTTTTACCAAAATTATATTTTGTTTGATCTTAATCATCATCAAGTCTAACTTTATTAATTGAGTTTAATTTATATTTTATACATAAAATATTGTGTATAAGATAAATTGATTTATTAAGATTAGATTTGAAAACAAAATGTAATAAATAATATTGTTCATCTTTTACAGAGAAATAATTTTAAAATTTAATTAATCAAATATTGTAAAAACTCTTTTTATGAATTCCGAAAGTAAATATATTTTCTTATTCAATTAAAATATAATTATCAATATAAATAATTAATTAAAAAATTATATTTAATTAATTAACAAATAACTTATTATTTACATATTATTTAAATCGAATTATATATAATATTATGCAAATATTATCTTATTTCAAAAACAAATATTATTTAATCTCAGTTTATCTCAAATTGTATTCCTTAATTTCTCGTCTTATTAAATCTTATAATATTAAATCACACTTGTGATAGATTATAGTTCAATAAATAATTGTATTCCTAAAAAGATCTCATTTTGACTCTATGTTTAGAGCCATTATGAAAATTGAATTTTTAAATAGATAAAATAAGCTTAAAAATAAGATTAAAAAAATAAAAAAATATTGAAGAAATTAAAAATTATAATATGCAACTTTATAAAATCTATAAATAAATAAACAAAAAAACTAATATAATAGGTTATATAATAGTTCATTATTGCTAAAAATTAGCACGAAAATTCTACATGCAATTCTTTATCGACAGTTTTTCGAAAAACTCATTAATAAATTCTAGAAATCTCTTTTTTTATTCTAACACATAAATGTCCTTTCCTTGTATAATTTACTCACAAACGCATTTATTGTGATCTTAACTGATTGTCGCAATCTGTGTAGGATACAAATGTTAATTTTTACAACAAAACGGCTATTGAACTGTATATACGTGGACTCAGCCTACACGTTGTGTTGCAATGTCGTGCGGACGATTATCCAGATAATAGAACATACTTCGTTATTACGGCATCATCTTGTGTAGGACTTGATGGCGAGCTGAATAACCGTATTCATTAACGATTTACATATTATAAAAAAATTAAAAGGCTTTCGTAAAACATGAATAAAATCATTAGGAAATTACGTCGTTTTTTCTTGAGTACATTGAATCCTCAACTGTTTTTTTTCCCAAGGTTCTGAAAATTTAAGTATATATATGTAAATTAAGATCCAAACTTGATGTAAATATTAAAAAATAGAAGAATCTAAGAATATAAGAAAAAAATACTATAAAAACAGTTGTTGCAAAATATTCAATTATAGATGATACAAGTTATCGATAAAAGATTCTGATTAAAATAGTGTTTTTCACTATCAGCAGAATATCATTAAAAAACAATGCAAAGGAATAAAATCGTTTACATATTTTTTTAATACAAATTATTAGATGCGTTTTACGTGAATCTCTGACAGATACCGTCTCGCAGATTTACGATAATGTCCAGATAAGATACAAGCGATATGCCTGCCATATGTTGCAACTTGCAAATCTTTTTCTGCTTTTTTCACTCTTTTTTTCCTTCCCCTATCGCCGAACTGAGAACAAAATATCGTTAATAAAATACTAATATACTTAATATCAACCGAAGATTAAGCTTGGATGATTATTTTCTAATTTCAAAAGCAAATTGTTATGGATTAAGTGATATGAAATGCACGTCGCAAAATTTGTAATTCAAATGATTTTGTATCTGCTTTAACACGCGTTGATCTATATTTAAAAGTAAAACTATGAGTTGTTAAATATCAATATCTAATTTGTACTACTTTCTTTAATTAAAATATCTCTTTTAGCATTTATTGCATTTTTCAAAATGTATTTAATAAAAAAAATAATAAATTGAAATATATTTAAATTCTATCAATACTTTAAAAAATTAAAAAATCTTATATTTCTAGAATTAAATTTAAGAAAATGATGAAAAAGTTCACTTTTCATGTATATCTTGAAATGCTACGGAGAATATTTTAAATAAAGAGATCTTAAATCTCAATAAAAAGATCTCCATTCCTTTGTCCCATGATATTTCTTTCAACCTATTTATTCCAGTAACTAAAAACACGAACATTTGACGCTCGACAGAATTCACTCTTCGCCTCGCATCTTTTCCATCAACTTATACACATCACATAGAGGATAAATTGCAATGCTCTCAAGAGGAAGAATGATCGATCACAAAAAGCGTTTAAGTATGAAGATACGACGTACAAAGTAAAACGTTCAGATGTTCACAGGGGACGTAAAAATAAATCGATCACCCTTGCGAATTTGAAGAACTCGTGGAACGCGGATTAAATACGCGTTCAGGTTTGCCCATTAGCCATTTTGCGCGGGTAAATGCGTGCAACCGATCGGATTGGACGCGCAAACGATTCAAACGTCAAGGAATTTTATAATCATCGAAGAGATATCTGATAAGGAAATGTGGTGTCTTGTATATATCCCGTAATTACGATACATCGGATATTTTTAAATGGTCCAAGATAAGTTATGCGATTATGGGCCACGTTTTCTACTAATTATGATCAAATAATTTTATAATGGTAATGAACGAGGACATAATTGAGGTTATTTGCATTCCTCCGGAGTTCAATTATTATTATTAGAAGTGGAATCAAGTGTACGATTGACCCTTGTTCGATTTCAATTGTCAATCGATCTTTTTTTCTTTTTCTTCGTCGAGAAATTTCGATATATATTCATATTATTCTTTTTTTAATTACAATTGATAAAGTAAGAAGAGATAAATAAAAATTCTCAGAATTCAAAATATGAAATTCCTGAAGTTTCAAAAGTGCATAAAATGTATACAAAATATGCAAATATCTACGTGAAATATTCGATAAAATATTTAGCAAATGAATAATTTCTGTTCAAATTCAATACTTTTAAATGTCTTTTTTTTATTTTTTTTTTAGATTTTTTATTTATTTTAATTTTTTTTTATTTGATAATTATAAAATGATCGCTTAAAGATATCACTAAGACGATACTGATGACTTCGACCATGAAATGATTTCGTTCGTAATAAGTGAATGCACGCGACAATTGTCTGCTATTCAGGGACATTATGTACCTATTTATACTAACTAATAGCAATATCATGTGATTCATAGCTTGAATATATTAGAATTTAATTCATTAATTCTCTAAATGAAATAGATTAGAAATAACTCTATTTCTTCTTTTTTTTTAATTTATTCCAAGTCAAGAGAAAAATTATCGAATAAGAAATAATGAAAAGGGAATTACATGCTCATTTCATATCGTGTAAATACTTCTTTTAACTAAAAAATAAGCAAAATATATCAAATCACTATAACATTATTTTCTCTCAAAAAATCAAAAATAAAAATGAAATAATTACCCATAATTGTGTGCAACCAGGACACATTTCTGGCCAGGTTTGAAAGCATAATGACACAATATAGTATCCAAATCCTTGAGCAGCTTGTTAAAATGATAATCCCTGGATCGATCAGGTGCCGAGCTCATTCCATGTCCCAGCATATCAGGCGCGATACATGGATAGCCCAAAGAGGAGAAATATTGAAGCTGATGCTCGAAGATATCCGCCGATGATCCAAATCCGTGCAAAAATACGATCATCGGCTTCCGGTTCTTCCGAAACGTGATCAGATCCCGGGGATTTTGCTCGTAACAGGTCGAAGTGGCGCTTTCCTCGATGTTCGGCCACGTCTTCCTGTAATCCTCGAGCTCGATGGACACGGCTTCCTTCTTCATCTCGAATGTGCCCATTTTCTCGTTCCAGCTGCACTTTTCCAAAGAGCATCGGTCAGGCTCGTCGATCGGATTCGCGGTGAACTTTTCTCGCAGCATCGCGATCGCGTTACCCTTTTTGGCCCTGAAGGACGACTCGTTGCTGCTGTCCTTGAATTCCAGCCGCAGTTTCTCGAAACTGGGCTCGTTAACAGTTTCCCCCAGCTCCTTCAGATCTACCGCGGGCACGCCACTCTCGAGATTATCCGTCGAGATATCGATCCCACCGGTGGTTTGAACGCTCGAATCCTGAGGCTCGCTCCTTTCCGCATCATTCTTCCCGGTGACCTCCGATCTCCCGGTGCCTTGATCGTTGCTCAGCTGCTCTCCACTTCTTGGAATAACCATCTCGTTCGTTCTCTTTGTCGGCTGGCCCTGAGCATAGTTTCCCTGACCATCTGTACTCAAGTCTTCCCAACTGTTCCTCAAAGCTGTTCTACCGAGCTTCTCGTCGATGATCTTCAACAAGGATTGCTCCAGGCTCGGCTCCTGATCCGGTTGGAACTCGATCGTTTCTACGCTGTTTATACCAGAATCGATACAATCCAGTTGCTCCAGAGTAACTTCCGTGCCGATCGGTCGTCTCAAATAGAAGTCCAATGAATCAGGATCGTTGCTCGATCCGATGAATCCACGGTTCATGTATCCCTCGTTACCGCCGTTCAACACCTCGCTCTTTCGCGCCGATCCCTCCTCCTCGTTCTTCTTGATCCTCTCCGGATGAAATGAGAAACTGATATCGTTGAACGATTCCTCGTTGCCACAGGATTCCTGATTCATCGATCTCATCCTTCCATTCGTATCCTCTTTATCCTTGTTCAATCGCCGCAACGTCAAACAATCGTTCTTTTTCTTAGAGCTTCTTACATCCTTGATAAGCGTGTCGCCCGCGCCTGCGACATACTTCACCGTATCATCCAATATCTCCTCGAGCAACACGTTGATATACTTCTCCAGATCCTTCACGATTTTATTTTTGATCGTTTGTTCTTCTGTCTGTTCATCCTTTGTATCGTTAATCTCGTTGATCACGTTCGTCACAAGAACACTCTTTTCCTCTACTTTGATTGGCTCGTTCTCGGGACCAGTGACCTGCAGTTTCTGCAAATTCACCGACACTCTTTGCTCGAGCTCCTCTATCGCGCGCTCGTTTTTCTCTGCCTCGCAAAGGCTAGTTCTAATCCTATTTAATTCGTCGGAAATGATTTGTTCCTCGGCTGTACTCACTCGTTTCGATTGTCGAAACGAGCATCTACAGTTTCCGGACGAATGAGGCCTTCTGGACCAACGGGTGAAGAAATTGTCGATGATGGATTCCGGCCTCTCGTTGGTGTTCTCGTAATACCATCCACTTTTCAAGGTTGGTTTAAGAATCCTCAAAGTTCGCCGTGGTCCGACGTTAAAGAAATCACAATCGGGAAGTTCCACCTTACCAGGACCTACTCGATTCCTGTTCTTCCAATATTCGAAGAATTTCGTGTACCAAGGAGATCCTGGTATCGTTTCTTCTCCATCCGTAGCCATGTTTCGTATGTGAATTTGTTGTCTTTGAGATCATAAAGATTGATCGAGTATTTTCTAATATAAAATGTATTACAATAAAATTCTTCGTTGTACGATTTTTAAAAAATCTTTAATAATTAATTAATAGTCGTTGATTTTTAAAAAATTTATTATACAGATCTTCTTGATTGTTTGATTTTTGCAGTTTGCATCTTTCCAACACGTACAACTTGACTCATAGTATTGTTTCTTTATAAATAAAGATGATTTTCATCATTGAATATCGCAATAATGAAAAAGTAATGTGTTTACACATTACTTTAAAATGCGGTCTCAATTTAAAATATGTAATTTTTGTATGTAACTATTCCTATGAATTATTATACAAAAGTTATATAAAAAAACATAGAAAAACAAAGTCTTCTTTGTAGTTTTTCTCATTTATAAATTACAAAAATATGATCTAGTCAATGTCTACGTTTATTCTATAATACAATGAACAGTTGTTCTTTTTTCCTTAAAATGAGATTTTTATTTGTCTAATGACTCAGTCTTTTTACTCGGTACATCGATACTTATCTTCAAAATATTAAATCAAAAAAAATTACATGGAATGATGGAAGAATCTTTTATATAAACTTCAACTTTCCTCCATTCAATTCTCATTGGCGTATTCTTTGTAGAAAATGAATTTTTATCCATCGAGAGCGAAGAATATTCTAACAGATTCCAAATTTCGTTTTTCTTTACTTGCTTTTCCGTTCTAATCGTTCTTTTTCGTTATAAATATATATGTCTCGTGACTTGTTCTCGTCGCCTTTAATGAATTCGCTCAATTTTTTCTTGCCAACTCGATCGTTCCATCAGGTTGCTCGCTCGCAGCCTTACAACACTTTTCCTGCAATTCTTGCAACCGTTGCTCACGATTTCCCCGAGAAAAACGAAAGTAACATTTCTCGCTGCTCCTCGTGTTAAGTAGTTTATGGCTCGCTGATTTGCCGATGGATCGTTCCACTATCGAAATAGCTAATTGCTATATCTGATATTTCAACCTGTGAATAATAAGATTAATTAGATGACCGAATATGGATCATATATTTATAAATAATATAAATATTTATAAATAATAATACGTATTATTGATATACTTCAATTAATAATTAATAATTAAAATATTAATCAATAAGTTAATGTATTTTAAAAAAGATATTTAAATTTTAAGAGGATTAACTTCTTTTAAAGGAACTTTTCTTTATATTAAGTTATTTAAAGATTATTTGTTTGATATTTACACGATATCCAAACAGATGTCTAATACGTCTTATTAAATTCGGATATTGTGGATAAATATTAAAATAAATTTATAAAACCGTTCTTCTTGTCTGTTTCTAATCTATGAAATTATTATATATAAAAAACGATCAAATAGTTAAAATATTATTCATCTATTAATTTTTCGATAATTGTTACAGTAATTGATTAATAATTTTCAATAATTTTTGTAATATATTGTTCTAATACTGTTTCCTATACTTTTATTCATATAAATAATTTTTCTCTCAAACATAATAATTGCAATGCTCATCGTTTTAATTTGCGAACGATGAGACAGCCAAATATTATATTATATTTTAATGCTGTTTATATTTTAATGTGTATAACAGATGCACGATTCACAAACGTATGAAGCAACGATGAAATAATAGAATCAATAATATATTTCTGTAAACGTGAATTCTTTTTGTCTTTTTATAAATTCTTTATGAAGTATATCTAATAATATAATATATTGGAGTTTAATCAAAAGAACTTCTAGATAAAAATTTTATAAGATTTTTGAAATTTTATATATTTATAAATCATTTTTATATATTTATATTATTTAAAATATGGTAATTTAAATAAAATTGAAATTAAAAAAAAATTGAGATTTGACGTTTAAAAATTATCACAGATTTCTATCACTAAGACAACGAAAATTATAACATTTGACATTAGAAATAAATTTTTAATTAATAAATAATAATAAAATTTAAAAAACATATCCATCATAAATTAATAGAAAGTAAATATTTAATTTTATACAGGAGTAAAAATAAAAATGATGTGAATTTACGTCAGCGACTGAGAATATGTTAATTAATCAATATATATGTATGTATATGTACATAACATATTTCTATTAAAATTAATATTATATTATTCATTTAATTATAATTATAAATATATTTAAAAAATTGTAATTCTTTCTAAATCTTATTATTATTATGCTAATGATTTAATATTTAATTTTATCCGAAATAAATTCATAATAAATTAAAATTTTTTTTTGAAATTGATATTAAGAAGCTGACAAATGAATATTGAAAACTATTGTTTTATAAAATATTGAAAATTGAAATCGTAATATTCAATGATGATTTTTTTAATAAAAATTACGTCCTAATTAAGAATATGCAAAACAAATATCTCAATAATTTGTGAAAATATAAATATAAAAGATGTTCGGATATTAAAGTGAGTAATCATATTTTCAGTTTAATAAAATTTTGTAGAAGAACTATTTTTCATAGAAAAATTATATCCAAAATTATATATATATTTATTAGAATATTTTTACATATTATATATTTCAGGATAATTTTTATTATTGTATTGATAAAAATCATATAATACAATTTATTTTAAATAAATAGTAAAAGAAACATAAAAATATAGTATGAAATAAAATGCAGAAAAATTTATATAGAATAAAGAAACAAATACTGAAAATTAAAAAATCGAATCATGAAAAAAATGTTTGGAAAATAAAAAAAGACGAATTAACTTTCGAATAAAACTTTCGAAAAATAATCGCAATCATTAATATCCATAATAAATACATTTGTTATTATTATTCATTTATTATTTTTTTTTTAAAGATATATTTATAAGTAAATAGATAATACTTGTTCATAATTTTTCAACTATCATAATTCATATTTCCCGTACAACATAAAGAGGAATTTCTAAAAAAAGATTTAAGAATCACTTTTCTAGATATCTTGATCTTTGATTTTCTAGATATCAGGTTTTTATGTATGTTATATAGTGTTGCGATGTAATGTCTTAATTTAAATATTAATTTAAATATTAAATAAAATATTAAATTAAATGTCTTTTATCAAAATTCGTAGAAATTAGTTGATAGAAAGTACAATGCATATACTTCTTAATTATTTCCATACCAGGAGTGAGAGTATACTTCAATATTTCATATCTGCTATCTTTGATATAATTATGTCTATATTATGCAGATAATATGAATAAATCAATTTTCTGCATATTAAAGTTATTCGAATTATGGCCATTAAATTGTTCAGTATCTAGAAAAATTTTTTGAAAGTAATCAAGCGCATATATGTGTTTAAAGAAAAAATATTGATTTAAATATAAGAAATATAATCGAAGTATTTATGAATAATTTGCATTTTTTACAATTATATCATTATAAATTATAAGTAAAATTCAGTTTCCTGCTTTATTAAAAATTTTTTATTTTTTTATTTTTTGATAATATTTAGTGAGTAATTAAAAATGTTAATTTTTATTTTAGGAAACTTTTAAAATTTAATTGTAATCTAATCCAAATCTAATCTAACTTAATCGCAATTTATTTCAGAACTTTAATTTAAACTCAAATTCAATATTAGTTACGTACAGACATTGTGATTTATTGTTTAGTAAATGCGTTTCAAAGAATTTTTACATAATTCCTGAAATAAAAAATAATTTTTACGTCAAAAATGACATTCGACTCGTAAAGTATTATAAATAATGCGCATTAATCGAAAATTTTTAATTTTCCAAAATAAATTTAAAAGATCAATGTTAATTTAAATATTAGAAAATAATTACAAATATTGCATTTTTAACAATTTTTTTATTTTGTTATAATTGTATCATAAATTGTAATGAATAATATTCCGTTTTCTATTCGGATATAGAAACTCGACAATGATTGGTACGAAATTTTTCAAGAATGTTTCAAAAATTCAAAAAATTCAAATGTAACTATTAAATATATTGTGCTTTAATGTAAAAATGTACAATATTCAATCCGTGATAAATGTTCTTTATTATACTTGCCTTTTAAATTCTTATTATTCTTGCTCTTTGAAAAGCTGCCGACCATCTTTTTTCTCGCAATGAACACAGGTAAGATAGCACACATCGATGAAGCGTGGTTCAAAGCTGACTATAAGCTTTTCCCATCCCTCAACACTCAAAGACCACTTGTTGCTTGCTTCGACCAGTGATTCTCACCTCTTTATGCCACAAAATATCGGTGACAAGTTAGAAAATAGTTTTTAATGTGAAACATGGGCGATCCGTACACACTACTATAATTTTAGTCTCTTAACGCGCGCATTAAACCGTCAATTGACACTTCCTTTCGATGCAGACTGCTCTCGCGAGCAAAAATTGGCCGTCAAGAACATGATTTCGAAGAGCCACTTTCACGAGATACGAAAGTCGCTCGACGGGGATACATATCGAAAATTCATGTTCACTGACTCGGTTTTTTTGGCTGATTATCCACAAGGAAAGAATGAGCACACTTTTTCGACACGCACGGTCGCGTGTCAGCATCCACAGCGGTTCTCGATGATGATTGAAACATCCGCAAGGAGACCGCGTTATGAACGATACACGGACGATACGAACTATTGTCGAAGTACACTGTGTCGCAGAGCCGCGTCGACTGTATGCACGCCGAGGTAGCGCGCATTTTCGTGGGCGTGGAGCGGTGAATTAAAACGGGAAAATTAAGGACGATTGACACTGAACTGCCGCACATCGGGTCACGGCGGCCATTGCGCGTCCCGAGGCACACGCACGCCACCTCATACGAAACAGCGCCATCCCACTTCGTTTTTCTATACAGTGTCCTAGCAGTATTGCAATTATTTTTTGTGTTTTTATTATTGTTAAGTGATATTTCATTTAGATTTTAAATAAGTCTCTTTATTTTATATATATTATATATATTTATAATAAATTTAATATTTAAAATTTATATTGTTTCTATATATAGAACAGAAATATTTGATGTTACCAATTGATCAAAATCCTAGGTTAGAAGAAATGGCGGGATATAAAATAGATTATATATAGAATAATTTTCAGGTAATATAATTTTGATTATTAATAACAAGCATTATTGATAATCTTAAATTATTTAAAATTGTTTTGATATTTTGTAATTAGTATTAACAATTAAATAAGAAAGAGATAATTTGAAAGATTTTTGAAAAATCATTTTCAGATAATGATTAATAAATATTCGAGTAATTAATATCCATCCTAAAACTTTTTTTGAAATAAAAAACTTTTATTTTGTGACAAATTAATATAAATAATGAATTATTTAATATTATTTTTGTAGTATATTTGTATATTAAAACCTTAATTAATAATATTATTTTGAATTAACTTTTTAAATATTTCATTTAATGTTATTGTTTTATAACAATTTTCTTTAATAGTTCATATAATAAATTGCATAACATAAATGGTTTTAATTGCAAGACACCCAATATACAAGCTGATTTCGATAAGAATCCATTGCGTTGAAAGCACAGCGTGTTGTTCTGACTAGCATGATGTCCGTTACTTTTCTGCTCACGTCATAGAAGCAAAGGTTCGTTTTCCTTCTACAATCAGTTTTGGATCCATAATTTCATCTAATATATTAATTTAATTTTTTTTTTATCTTTTTGTTAAAATATCGATGTGAAAAAATTTCAAATAATTTGTCAAATCTTTTTAGATTTATATTTAATCATGACAATTTTTTAAATAATGTGTAAAAATCTATATCTGCTACTTAATATAATTATTAAAATTATATAATAAATATATAATATATATAATAATTTTAAAATATATATATTATTATAATAAATTTTATATAATAAATTTTATATATAAAAATTAAAAAAAGTTTATAGATATAGATTTTTCTAAATGTTTTATTATCTAATTAAAAAAAAAATATATATATATAATATTAAAAAATAAAAAACTTTGAAACTAATATAAATATAATATTTCTCTTATTATATTTTTTCTCTTATTATATAAGAGAGAAAACATTTTTAAATGCAACAAATTTTGGAAAGTAAAAATTTTAAAATAATACTTTCACATTTTCTTAAATAACACAAAATATTAATTTTTTGTGTGATTGTTACTAAATTTGATAATATTAATAAATTGTTCTTTATTCTATTTGAATTTTTTTGCTAAGTGATGAAAAATAATGGAAATATAATATAAACAATAAAAATTATATATAATATATTTAATATATAATATAAATTATATTATATATATATAAATATTGTTTATATAATATAAACAATAACAATAAATCAATTTAGTAAAAAATAGAAATTTTGAGATATAAGTATTAAAAAAAAATGTTGAAAATGTCAAAAAGAGGACTTAATCAATGTTGAATATAAAATATACTCATCACATAACGATGTGCTTCCGGTATGCTTCAATATGATTGAACGGTACCGAGAAAATGGGGTTAAACATTAATGGTAATGTTACATTTTTTGGGTCATAATAAACAATTCATGTATATTATATTTTATTTTATGTTATATATATTTATGCATAATCTATCTCAAAAGAATACAATAGGCAATTATATTTTTACTCAAATGAAACCAAGTAAAATAATTAAAAATAAAAATATGACAATTTATAAACTATATTTTCATTATAAGAATTGAAAATCAAATTAGTATAATACTATCGGTTTATTATCGATTTATTCTCGTTTCTATATTATATACTCGTATTTTTTTATATCATTATTATTATTTAATCACAATTATGTTAATAAATCGCACATTTAGCACAAAATCACATGTTCGATTAGAAAAAACACACTATCATGGAGCATTAATATTCTTGTCGCTATTTTTGTACCGTATGAATGACGATTAAAATTATTTTCAGTGACTGCAATACGGGACTGTGACCCATATTATTGGAAATAATAATAATATATTTTCGGCTAGATAATATATTATATATATATATATATAATAATAATAATAATAATAATAATAATAATATATTTCGGTTAGATAATAATTATTAACTCATGATAATAAATTCATTCATTTCTTTTTTTTTATAATTATTTGAATTTTTGTAAACACAAAAATTTTCAGATTTTTTTAGAATAACAGCAATGAACATATGTGAATATAATATAATATACAATATATATTCATAAAAAAAAATAATTTGTTATAGTGTACATCTATAGGAAACAATTTACATAAATAGTTAATCTATTATTAATAAACTATATGTATAATTGAATATGAAGAAAAAAATTATTTCATATTACAAATATATATTATACATTTGTTATTAAAAAATTGAATTAATTTTTTATTAATTTTCAATTCTATTAATTAATAATTAATAATTATTAATTTTACAATATTATAATTTAAACTATAAATTAAACTAGAAATTAATTAGAATTGGAATTTATTTTTATAGATGAATAACATAAGAAATATGTTCATTGAATTTCTAATTTTTTGATAAATTAATTATTTATAATTTCAATTTTTTAATTATAAATTAAATTATAATTAAAATAATTTATTATTTAAGCAAATTTTTCTCTCCTCTTATCGCATATAGATTTCGAAGAAAATATAATACTTGCAAAACTTTGTCATTCTTGAGATATCTATATATAAGTAAAGGAAATAATAACATAAGTAAATATATAGATATAAAGAGATAAATAGATCAATGATCTTCTATAACATTTTCATTCACAATATCAAAAAGAATCTAATAGATAAAATACAACAAGAAATTATAGAACATCGAACTAGCATATGTAAATGTCACTTATCTACTCATTATTCCATGATCTATATTATATAAAATTTAAAATATTAATAAAATAATAAAGCAATATGATTTATACAAAGATAATTAACACATTTTATATATATTCTATCACAAAGAAATTCTTTTTTGTGCTCGCTTGAAAATTACATGGGAAGTATATAATCAGCCTATTGTCAAATATTTGCAGTTTTCATCATATTTATATAATCATATATCGTATATCTTTCTGGCAAAAAAATAAATAGATTGGAGACCAAGACTTTGTTTTTTTAATCCAAATATACTTCTATTTTAGAAGGGATAATTTTATCTGATTATTAACTGATATGTATAAAAGAGAGAATATAGCAAGAATGGTGATATTTAACATTATAATCTCTTAAACTTCAACTTCTATTCTCTTTTATTATACGTTTCTATATAAGCATATAAGAAATTTCTATGAAATTCAAAAGAAAAAATTTTTATTTTAAATCTTATAAAACAATATGTTATTACTAAAATTCTAATTGAAATAAAAGAATATTTAAAGAAACTGATTATAATTTTGTAAAATATTTGTAATGTAATTTAAAAAATGAAGTCATTTGGTTTAATTTTGATTTAATTTAATATTTATTATAAATTATATCGTTCCTAAAATTTAGTTCTGCAAAAGGAATTTTTTTTGATTCTAATAATTAAAAATTATTAAAAAATCGAAAAAAAATTATTTGTAATAATAAATTTTATATTTTGCCTATATCCTAATCATATTCATTAAATAAATATGTTATAAGTATATATTGATATTGTAGAATTGATATTGTAGAATTTAATCAATTTTATGAATATCTCGATCTCGATTCAGTATATATTTTTATACAAACAAGATAAATTTTATTTATCTTCAATTATAGAATTCTATGTAAATTTAATCATAAAACATTAATCTTTTGCAATTGATATTCTATTTTGTCTCATTTCTTTCATTTATGAAGATTTACAAAATATTCACGTTCTTTAGTATGAAAATAAATAACATAATTTGTTAATTATCAAAATTCGAAAAATAATCATTAATTAAATCATTATTTTCTTTTCCTGATGAGATAAAAATATGTCAATATATTAGATTTCCTTAAATTACTCATCTCATAGAACATTTATTCATTTAGATGAAACATTAACGAAGGGAAACATTGTTCTCCGGATGTAAGCGTAACGTCTCGCGCGCATTTCCAGCGAAGCACGAAAAAATTTCAAGGGAGCGATGCGCGATAAGTAATACAAATTTGTCATGGCGGTAGAGAATCGCGGTAAAAAATTTACGTGCTAAAATATTAGCTTAGAGTACAACGTTGTGATATCTTTGCAAGCGGCGCAAAACATCTAATTGACAGAGAGATTATGGAGTACAAGTTGTTTATTCAACGACAAGTAATATAAGTATAAAGGGACAGTCAGGTCGTGTAACCCGATTATTTCGTTAAAATATCTCGGAATGTTACTACGTACATTATGGTTCATTGGCGTATTCATTGCTTCCATCGTTTTCCACCCTTCCGAGTTTTCCACTCTTGGCTCGCCGGTCAATACATCAGTTACTTCGAAAGAACAGAAAGTCTTCCTTGATTGCCAGTATACTGATTATAGGACCTACATACAATGTCTCAAGAGACAAAAGAGGCATCATTTCGATCATGGACAAATACATGGAGAATACGGTTAGATCAAACTATATATATAGATTTCTTTTTCAAAAGGATGAAATGAAAAAATTGATTGAAAAATCGATAGAAATGAAATTTAAGTGTGAGAATAATTAATTACAAAGTGATCAATTTATTTTATGATATAATTATAAAATATAAAATATAAGATTATATAAATATAATCTTTTTTTTCTTTTTATTTATTCTTACTTTCATTTGATTTGGATAAAAGATAAATCCAAAGAATTAATAATAAAAGTAATTCTAAGTGGTTACAATATTCAATAAAAAAAATGAATTAAAATTGTTTAAATCTTATCTTAGAAATATATAATAGTTTTTACCGTGTTTTATAAATTTTTTAAATATTTTTGATCACTTCAATTTATTGAACCGCAAATGATTAAGCAAAAAAGGATTAATTTTAATAAATCTTTGATTTTTATGCTATTTATAATTTAATTTGAATTGAAATTTATTTAAATTATTTAATTATAATGATATTATTATTTAATTATTTAAAATTATTTTTTTTATTCAGATATCTTCTTAATAAATTTCTTCTTATTGAAAATTTTTTCTTCGAAATTAATTAAAACTAATGTATATTAACATATATTAAAATTTTATCTAGATCATGAATGTATGGAATCATGCTTGAAGAAATGTGATTTAGATTGCGATATAGTATGTAAATATTGTATGAGGAAAACAAAGCATAGACACCAAATAATTACAGAATATGAATCTGAATGTGTTTCTGGAAAATGTACAGAACAGAAGAAGGAAGATTTACCAAATGCCAATATTACCACTAATATTAATATTCATAACATTATTCACGGAAATCTATCGTGTTGTAGTAAGTAAAAGATCATTTTTTGAAGTACTTAATTTGAAATAAATAATATATTATTAAATATAATTAATATATCTTTTATCGAATGCAGATTCAGGAACTGGGTGTCCACCAAAAATTATATGTCCGCTGCCACCACCATCATCATCTCCGCCATCATCATTATCACCTCCGACATCACCGTCATCATCGTCACAATCATCATTTCCGACATCATCGACACCACTGCCACAACTGCCACAACTGCCATTTCCGCCATTTCCGCCATTTCTGCCATTTCCGCCATTTCCGCCACTTCCGCCACCTCCGCCACCTCCGCCACCTCCTCCACCTCCTCCATCTCCACCTTTGCCATCACCTCCACTACCAATACTACCTCCACCATTACCACCATTACCACCTCTGCCTCTACCAGTATGTCCTTCACAAACATGTTATCCTTATAGTTTTATGTATGGTCAAAACAATTTTGGATGTCAATATTGGAATTTATATCCTTGCATTCAAGTAAGTCTAATTAAAATATTTTTATGATAATTTAATATATATATGGATTTCATTATTAAAAAATTGATAAAAAATTTATTTCATTATTATAATACAAAATATTATATTTGTTATAAATGAGATTTTTATTCCTAGAAATATTTAATAATTTATCTTGTGAATTGATATCAGTGTTAAATAAATTATTTACTTGTTTTAAAAAAAAAAAACTTATATTTTTTTTTGTAATTCTTTCATTTATTATAGACTTGGACAAATCCAGCAGGACCAATTGATTGTTCCGGTTGTGGTTATAATTATAGTTATAATTCTAAGTGTCATGTTTATTGCTATTATACAACATATAATATAATCCAATCTTCAAAGTGTAAAAGTTCATATTGCGTGGATGGTAAGTTGATTAAATAATATAAATTATAATATGATTAATTTTGATAATAATGCGAAATTTATTTTATACAGTAATTTATGAAAATATTCTAAACATGCATTAAATTAATTTTTCCACTAAAAAGAAAATTTTCCAATATAAGAAAAGAAGAAAAATTTAGGAAATAATAAAATAAATTTAATAAAAAAAATAAAAAAATTAATATACTTACATTCTTTATATTTTAAACAATTACATTTTTGATTGCTGTGAATTATTATGTTCGCGTTAAATGACTTAATATACTTTTACTATATCCAAGTATTAGATGCTAATTAACAGATTTATACTAATCGATTTACATTGAAAATTATGATAATATTGATTATTTTATTTTTTTATTTACATTATATTAATATTCATTTAACTTAAAAAATATATATGATATATACGACTATTTTTAGATATAATTAAGAGAAAATATTTAAAAACAGTAATTATTATATATCAAATACAATCATTATTTAGTTATTAAATAATATGAGAGCAGAAAATTTATATATTTTTGCAATGTACAATTAATGTTAAAATTGTTTATATAGTATTGATGTAATAAATATTTTTATTTTCAGGTACTTATGGATAATGAATATCACAGAAATAACACAGAAATAAACATTTTATACAAAAGTAAGGATTATCTTAGATAAAATAAAAATATTAAATCCAAAATATATTATCATTAATTGATTACTTCTGTGTTACAATTATCATTAGAAAATTATTATATATTATAAAAATTATATAATTAAATTTGTTTCTCTATGTTTCTCTATTATTTTTAAATAAATATATATGAAATGTAAAAATAAAGTAATATTTATAATTAACAGTTTAATAAATGTGATTTTTATGTGAAATAAAAATCTTCACAATTTGCATCTGTAGATGCAAAATATAAGATATAATAGACATATATAAGATGTTTTAAATCACTTATATATTTGAAATTGTCAAAAAATATTTTTTTTTATAAAAAATCAATTGTTTCAAATGATATTATATTTTTTATTTTATGACATTACAGCTAATGTCAAGACAAATTGATCTTTTCACAAATATCTATGCTCTAAATAATTAGCGATATTATATCATAAAAAAATCCAAAAATATCTTTATCTATTTAACTACAATATTTTTTGAATTATTTCATCATATTTTCCAATATTAGAAAAAAAATAGAGATAACTCAACATCTATTGATCAACTAGAATCTTGTATTGATCTATATTAATCACGCTATGATCTTAAGCATCGATTAGATTTTGATTCTTCAAATGTGCCCCATTTTCAAGAAGAGACCATTATGTCTCTTATCAATTTGCACTATCAAAATAATTAATTTACAAATTGAATTATAAAATATCAAATTTTTTTATCCAATCTGCCTCTTTTTTCCCTATCAGAAACAGAGAATATATATATAATTATAGATTCAATGATTTCGTTTGCATTGCTATATCATATGATGGACAATAACTGACCTATGATCTAAACGGTAAAACATATCAAGACGAATTTTTCCACAATAATTTTTTCACGAGAAGGACAATTGATGATGGTCTCCTTTATCGAGCTAGTGATCCCCTGCGGAGAAGCGAGGCTTAACGTGTCAGGTGTCGGGAACAGGTGTTGGAGACGCGGTGGCCGTGGCGGTGTTCCCTTCAGGTGCACCGTGGCGAAACATGCTGCTATTACGGTTTACGATGGGGGTTAAGAAAACCGGCGGAATTGTTTCTTACATTTAAGGGCGCAGGTGAAATGAAACGCGTGCAATTCCGCCACAGGTACGTATACTGCATGTGTACATTGTGCACGAGATGCCATGGTGCGTTACAATGATGATGCATAAAATTTATTAATTTGATTCTTTTATTTCAGCTATGAATTATTATTGTGATCCGATAAAATAATCATCGTTCGATTTCTGTGACAGGATCTGAGAATTTAATTCTAGACGACTAGTTTGTTCCTCATAACATATTCCAATCATATCGATGCTTTATGAATTAAAAAAATAGATATTGTTAGACATAACTTTGTATGGTAAATCGAATCGACAAACAATTGTCTGAGTTTATGGATGTTTTAAATGTGACATGTGTTGACTCGTTATACATGTCAACATGTCAAAATGTTTGTCAATCGTCTGTTTTGTTACAATTTTACATTAGAAGCGTGTATTCTATTTTGAAAATTTCAAGATAATTTCAGATAAAATTTGAATTAAATTATTATTCTTTAAAAGGATAAAAAAATCTATTTTAAATCGATTTTAAATTGATCAATCAAAATTAAATAATGTTAAATAATGGAGAGAAATTGTATTGTATTATTTATTTAATTTTATTTACTTAAGAAGATTCAAGAAGATTTCTAATTTCACTATATAACATCCGATTGAAAATATCTCACAGACACGAATCTATTATAGGTTTCGCAATACATTGGATAATGTTGGATAATAGCGAAAGTGGTCGCAACATCTTGCCGTGGGAATGGCAGCTTGTTTCTCCTACTCGTGCATCTATTCGAACCACAGACAGATTCTTTTCTAAGCAGAAGATATTAGAAGAAGTATTCCGACGTCGTCGCTTGGCGAAGGTTCGCGACCGCAATATTTTACTAGTGTTCTAAGAAACCTATTGCATTCACAAGATTTTTCACCCCATGTTTCCTTTTGTTTTTATTTTTCAGAATATTTTTATCTATTCTTGATAATTTTCTTTTGTTCATTGATTTTGTGTATTAATCAATACTGGATATATTTGAAGTAAAAATTATTGGATATAATTAAATAATAAAATAAATATTTATTATAAATGCAATTTTTTCTGAAGATTTTTCTTTAAAATAATCGAATAATTAAAAGAAAAGGTTTTTAAAAATATTAAAAATATAATAAATCTTATAACTATGGAATAGCAATAAAATAAATTACACTGAATAATGTACATTTAATGTAAAGTTATGTTAAGTTAAATATTTTATTTATAATCTTTGTAACAAATATATATGTTATGTATACTACGTATAATAATGCTATCTAAGAATGTATACAATAGAAAGTATCGTGTTCGAAAGTGGAGTTACAGCACCTATCTATCTGCAAAGTGATAGATATTGGTCCCAAGATACTTTACACAAACAGATACTAACATTATAATTGTATTGTTGAAGAAGACAACTGGTTTGAGAAAGGTTTCATTAGCCATGCGAATTCTTTAGATGATAAGCTATTTTATTTGCTCCTCGGGATGCTGGACAATGTGAATCGCGCGTCTTCTCCACGAACAATAAAATTTACTGTGGAATACTGCCGCTCCGCGAACGAGAGGTCCTTTCTTCCTGTCAAGGAATCATTTCACGCGACGTGCACTTGATCTCGGGATAAGGATCTTAGTAAGGAAAGAAGGAAAAAGTATACGAAGAAAGATTATGAAGCTTTTGTGGTCCAAGAAAATGGAGAATAGTAAATCGATTGAGGTAATATTTATTTTTCGTTTCACACTAATAATATTGATAATAAAATTGGCAATATATAAATATCATAAACTAAGTTATTTAAAATCAAGTGGAATAAAGGAAATAAAAAATGTTACAACTTAGTCGATTTTATTATAAATACATAATAATATTAAAATGAAAAGTATCTAATATATTATTAATTTTAAATGTGCATAAAAAATGACAAAATTTATTAGGATACTTAATATCGATAAATTGATAATATTGATAAAATTCTATATAAATTAAAGAGTTAACTTTTGATTGAGAATAATTATGATAATCTTGTACTTACTATTATAATGTACATTTAATGTCATAGGAAATATATAATAATTTTTTTATTACAAATAATTGCAAGTAATCTTTCAATCTTGTTTAAGTCCTAGTAAAAAGTATAGAATTTTAATGAAATCCTTTTTCATTAATAATGATTGCATCATTCTCGTCAATAATAGTATAAATTATGGTAATTCTAAATAGGATATAGAATAAATTTTTTATTATTAGATGTTATTGTAACACCATCAATGAATAAGATTTAGGGACGTTTAATCTTGTAAAAAATCTATGTGAAATCAAATTTTTCGATTAGGGGCGATTACGACACCCTTGAGAATAATGTTAATGATTTGAAAGAGGAAATGCCCATCCCATAGATTACAGTGTTGCACATAGATGCTTATGCATGTCGAAAAAAATTTGCATCGAATGGCGGACCAGGCATGCCAATAATATCTATCGTAGAGCAATCTCTTTCAATCTTCCTACACTATTTTCCCCATCATCGTTACAAATTATGGAACGTTATCTAAATAGTATCGAGTGAGTGCACGAGCATAAAATTATTCGATGTTTAACCATAGTCCCTCTGTTTCCTTCAAAATCGGTAGATAGATATTTTTTGACTCATTATCTCGAAATATATACATACCAATAGTCTATTCTATCTTTTACATAATAATCAAATAATTAATCATAAGATTACAATCATTCTTATAAATCCCAAAATCCCAAAAATTTACGCGGTTCTTTTTATCTATTCATCATATCTACTGTACAAAATCACAAATCAAAGTTAATAAAAAAAGAAAGATTTTTTTTTCCTTCAACTCTGCGCATCATAAGCGTATCCCAATTATATTTTAATCTCTCAGATAATTAAACTCAAAGATCAAGGACAACTCTCTTCTCTTTCTATCTCTTGATTCGCATCGTTTAAGTTAAATCCTTATTTTAAGGATCTACACCTGGCGCACGATCTAACTTCGCCGAGTTTATAGAGCAAACGACGCAACCATAGACCACCCACGGATCTCCGCCCAGCTGGCTTCTTCCTCCAGCTCAAAACTCATCGAACGTCTGGATATATCCAACTTCCGCCATGTTGCGCGGTAACAGTACACCCCCCTTTGCCCTCAAGAAGAAACTGGACATTAAATTTTCACGGTTCAGTGCCATCGAACGCGAGTCCTTTTGGAGAGCTAGTGCCACGTCTACGTAGTCCCCAGGGGAGGCCTTGGGGGCTCTCGAAGACGCCGCATATGGCACATGTCCGTGGAGGTCCCAATTAAATAAGCTACTCGTGTGTACTCCTAATATACTCACGCAATACGCGTGTATGTACCACACCTCTAGCCTGTTTTCTCTTCCGGTTGTCGCCTCTTGCAACGTGCAGCGGCCGAAAAATGTACCGCGCCGTTGCACAATGGCGTCTTCCGTTTCGAGGGGGTCTCCACTTTGAAGCTTCATGGGAGTACAATAGCTTCTGAAGGAGTTTAATAACGTTTCTTTATGCAACATTCGAGTTCGACGGATGGAAATAATGCTTGAGAATTGTGCAGATGGGACAACCGGGAGGATTGGAAATTAGAGATTGGCTTTAGAAGATGGAAAAAAAGTTAAGATATATTTTTTATATATAGCTTGAGATATCGATAACGATATTTCTTTTTGTTTTTATTTATCATACAGGTAATTAGGTTACTATTATAAAAATTTGTCTACCTATTTCAAAAGATTTCTTTTTCCATAAGATCAATTTATCTTTACTGGCAAAATTTGTTCGGTCGAACGTGAATAAATAGAACT